TTGTCCCATCTCTCCCTGTCCTCTCCGACCAGCAAATGGATGATAGCGCGGAAGTGCAAACTGTGGGGCAAATCTCAATGCCAGGCATTTCTTTCATTATTGGAACAGGAAGACGGCGGCCAAGTCTCTCCTATTACTAATAGCAGCAATCAGGAATTTCTTTAAGCCATCGAACCAGATGTGATTACAAAAGATTGCTCCTGAAAGTGAGCGCGTTGATCTTCGTTCCTATGTTCTCTTTTTGTCGACTGGATAGTTCGCGGATTCTCAGCATGCTATTATATGCAGATGACTCTAATTCCCCCCAACCTCCACAATGGGATCATTGGCAATGGAAATACAGGGGCGTTTGTCCGGTACATCAAGATACATTTTGTGTATCCTTTACCCCCCATACAAATGCAGACTGCATGCCAGTGATAACTTTGACCTGAAGCGCAATCAGACCCTGGGGGTTCTGCCTGCTCGGAAGGCCTTGAGCGGACACCAGATTATAATGCTAATGAAGCGAGTGACGCCATACAATATGGATGGCCAGCTTGCAGGACAACAACATCTGCAGCAGGGTTACTGCGCCACAGGCTGGCACATCAGAACATATATCGGCCCGCGGACATGGGCGTCGCGCCGACGACCGTCTTGCCGTCACGGGTGACGTCATCAGACCGCCAGTGGGCAGGCGGTCCGGCATTTGTATGCGCACATTTACAGCTTACGTGCTGGCCGGGGTGCACCGTGAGGGAGGTAGTTATGCTGGATGTCAATAGGCGGGGTCAGACGGCGGTGGCGGCGCCAGCGGCGAGGACGAGGTCAAGCGGAAAACGAGGTGCGGCGTTGCTGGCGGGTGTGTCCTATCCCCGATACGACTGACCGAGGACGAGGTCAAGCGGAGGACGAGGTGCGGCGTTGCTGGCGGGTGTGTCCTATCCCCGACACGACTGACGTCCTCTGAATATGTCAGGGAGGAACCGGCCCCGCCCAGGTGACGGGCCAGCTTCGAATCATGGACTCACGCAGTTGAGCTCACAATACCTGGGATCGCAAGGACACGAGGTGACAGAAAGTGTTGTCAAAAATCCGTCCCACATGTACATTTCATACACATATGTATATAGATTGATATTTATATATTTGTGATGCATATAATATATCTATATTGACATACATTTGTGCAAATATATATATATATATATATATATATATACGTATATACATATATGTTTTTGACGCATCGTTCTAGTTTCCGAGCCTTTGACTTGGCATCATCGCTTATATTAAAGATAGTTCGCACAAAATTACTCATATATTCATCGCTGCTCACTTTCTAACGTTTCGTCGCCTACTCATCGTCGGAGAAGACTAAATGGCACAAGAAATAAGTTCTGAGTTTTAAGGGATAAAACATTGTGCACTACTATTGAAAAATATATTTTGGTGCGGAGAACACAAATGAAGCATGACTTTTTGAAGTAAGACAGAGTCTTATTTTCACTTTGATGCGTATAGGAAACACTGGTAACGGGAACACTACAAAGGTACAATGAGAACACTATTGCCACAATCACATTAATCGTGTCCACCGCCCACCACCTAATAGTTCAAGAGTTGTGCAAGAATTTGTTTGTCTGTTTAGGGCCGGAAAGAGTTCGTTAAGGAGCATACTTTCCAAAATTTGAAGGCGTCTCCAGTCATTGCACGTTGTCAATGTCACGTCGTGTTCGTGTCGCATGTGGTCCAGAGGTGCCCCGTCACGTAAGCGCATTGTCAGGCGTCGTGAGAGTGTCGTTGTGGTCACACCAATGGGGTGTATGGAACGAAGTTTGCAGCCTTCGATGTTGCATTTGAATTGATACACTACATTGGTGCATGTAAGTTTGTCGGGTTTGTCTCGGCTGTTTCTCATAAAAAGTCAGATATTTTCTTATTACGATAATAAATGACGTATTGAAAGCTGTCCATTTTGTCTATTTGTGGTCATTTTTGTCTTTAACATGTCGAGAGATAATTTCCCATCAAGCTTTATCGTCTTGTTTGTGGGCAGATGTCATTTGATTTTGATGATACAGTTTGACAGTTGGTTGGGTGTCTTGTATTGGATTGTTTTCCAAGTATCTCATCATATGTCGTCGTATTTCATTTTCAACGTTATAAAAAAGCGTTGTTCACCAAGATCTGTCTGATTCATGTCAATTCTGAATGTAGTGCTGTACAATCAGAGCAGTGCTTGAATGCGCGTCTAATGTAGGACCTTATGACGCTAATTTTGTAGCGTCGAAGACAATCACTATCAGCATTTAAGCCACAAACAGCCGCCACAAACATCTGCCACATAAGCCACAAATATCTGCAAACAAACAAGACGAAAAAGGTTTGCGGGAAATTGTCTCTTAGCATGTTAAAGGCAATAACGACCACAAAATAGATAACGTCACTTATAATACAATATAATACACGTCACAATAACACACAAAATAGACAACGTCACAACGGCCACAACGGC